GGCTTTTCTTAAACCACCAGCAAGGGAGTTTTCCTCAGCTCTGGCTCTACATCATCCAGCTGACGTGGGTTTTGTATTTGTGGCTAGCTTGTGATTAAAGCACCACCACCTCAAAGTGGTCATTGGGGTCCGAAACCTCCTCTGCATGGCATGGCAAGCAATCCAGAGGAAAAGCCTCTGCTCCAGTGCCCAGCAGTGGGAGCATTTGTTTTCCCCCAGAGCACGTTTCCTTTGTTTTAAGTGAGAGATGGAGCTCTTATCATGAAAATTGCATTTGTGATGAACGACTCTCCACTCTTCTGCACGATGTGATGGAGGAAGCCAGGGTGTTTTCTCTGACCTTTGAGTCTCCTGAGAACACCACAGCTTGGAGCAGCCCAGACTGAGCTGCCAGCCAGTTTTCTCAAGTAGTTGGTGCAGTAGTGGTGTCACGATGAGCCACGCCATGCAGAGGAGGGGAACATCCACCCACACTTCTCCATGCCTGGCGGCCGGCTTCCATAGCACCATCTTCTCCTTCAGCTTGGTGTGGTGTGGTGCAATTGCATCTCATGGACAGGAGAGAGCCAGTCATTACCAAGGGAGAAGTGAAAGTCCCAGCAGCCCCCATTCAGTCACTACTGACTGCTCCAGTAATTTGAAACTGCTCTGCTTCATTGTTGGCCGTAGCTCTGGTGGGAACGGCGCTGTCTAGACACGTCCTCTTGGCTGGGATTTCCCCACCACGGTCACCCACAGTGGCTCTGTGCCCACGGCAAGTCCCCAAGTTCCTGTAGAGGTGCTGGCATCTCCACCAGCTCAGGGACTTCTGCATGGTGCTGGGGACCACAGCACCACTTCACGCTGGTTCCTGCCTGTGCCCCAAAACTGGTGTCACCAAGAGCCTCATCGTTAGTTTTTGGGATATTTTATTCACACTTGCTAGTTCATCTCCCATTGCAGTCCTGAAAGGGTGGTACACTTTGTGAGATGTTTTGTAGGAAGGTGAACAGTGCTACAAAGTTCAAGTGACCTGCCCCAGAGGGTGCAGATGGGGTTGGTGCCTGGGAGGGCCTGATGCAGGCTCACCATTGGGCTGACCCACCCAATAAGTGGACTGTAAGGGAGATATTTGTCCCTCTGAAAAGAAAGTTCCCAGTTAGGAGGGCAAGGGGAGGAGTTGAGTCAGAAGCCAGTGGGCTCATGTGAGAGGATGAGATTGGTGGGGTTGTGGGCAGGGTGCCTCCTGCCAGCCTAGCACCCAGGTCTGAAGTTGGCAAGGAATGCCCCTTCTCGGGGATCCTCTATCTTCTTGGGCAAGGATGAAGTGGCTGTGGGTGCTTGAGATGCAGGAAGCATCCTGTCCTGGTAGTCTGCATGGAGGTTTCTTTGGTCTGGCTGAATGGTTTTCTTTCTCTGTGAGTGCTCATCCTGGTGTAAATGCTGGTCTCTTATCATTAGATAAGGAGGCTGGAGGAGATCTAGGGGTCAGGAGACAGCTGAACAAAGGCTGAGACAGGAAGCAAGGTGAAGATGGTTGTCTTTACAGCACAACATCCTATCCTGAGGCTTGGCCTGTCCTTGCCTCTGGACTGAACCCTTTCTTTCTCCCCTTGAACTCTGCTGAATTTTGCAGAAGAGCAGAGTGTTTTTCCAGGCTGGCAGAGGACACTCATTGACACCTGAGCAAAGTCTCTGGTATCTCATCACCAGGCAGTTCTGTGGGCTGAGAGTCAGGTTTTTTTAGCTAATGGCCTCAATCAGGAGTTTTTTTTCTGACCAAGTGAACTGCTTTCTGGTTTGAAAACTAATTTTCAGGTGTTTGCTCACTCAGCTGTGTTTTCCAGGCAAAGGAACCCAAAGCAATTATGAAGATTGAACATCTAAATGCAACTTTCCAGCCTGCAAAAATCGGGAACCCACACGGACTGCAGATCACCTACTTGAAGGACAATAGCACAAGGAACATCTTTGTCTATCATGAAGATGGCAAGGTGAGAGTAAGAGGAAGGGCTGGGTTGTGACATCTTTTAAGGCAGGCTTCTCAGTGCCTGGAGAAGGAGATGGGGTGAATGGAGCCATGACAGGTGGGGGGACTCAATCTAAGGACTCCCCAGAGGGGATTGAACTGCCCTGTAGGAGACCTGAGGAACTGGTTGTTTCTCTGCCCATCTTGTACTTTATAAAATGTGAATCTGCACGTTTGTATTGGAGTAAATCCCTCACTTCAATGCCCTCGTGCCTCTGAAGGGAGGTGTGCAGGAGAGGGCTCCTGGGTCTGGGGCAGTGGTTTGCACGACGAGGACAGGGCTGTGAGGGGGTCCCAGCCCTCCTGGAGGCTGTCAGAGGGGTCCCAGCCTGGGGGACACTGTGCAGAACAGCATCAGGCACCACACTGCCCCGTGGGTCTTGTCTCCATGGACTGGTGGCCAGGCAGAGAGCAGACCTGGGTGAGTTTGCAGTGGATCCCATCTCACAGCCTGATTTTCATCTCCTCCTTCCCCCCTCAGATATCTGGGGCTCCCCATAAGATATCAGCAGCCACAAAATAAGAGCCTAAGGCTGTCATCTTCACACTGCATCTACTTTCCTCTGGCTGTCACGGTGCCTTCAGCCTCTGATGGTGCATCCCCTTGAGCCCCCTGTCTGCCAGAGAGGCTTTCTGGGGACAATCCCCTGGACTGGCTGAGCAGGGATTTGCAGGATTGTCTCAGTGCACAGCCTGTTCCCAGCTGTTCTCCTGGGCAGCCCTGCCAGGGAGGAGCACCCTGTGCCCCGAGCAGTTGCTCCTCTCCACACTGCACAGGCCAGGGGTGCCACCAAAACCCAGGTACCCCCCTGGTCACAGTTTAAACTGCAATAAGAGGAAGAAGCTCTTCCCTGTGAAAGCTGCATCCCACCCTGGTGCCCACATCTGTGGTGTGCTGGTCCCTTAGCCCAGCTGTGAGGAGAGGAGCCAGGGTTCTCCTGTGGTCTGGGGTTGAAGTGCTGAGCTCTCTGCTGGGGGCCCGTGGCAGGAGCAGTCTCACAGGTCTCACACTCTTGCTCCTGCCTTGTGTTGGTGGCTTGGCAGGACAGGCTCTGGTGCCATCTGGTAACATTGATTTTCTTTTGCCTTCCCTGAAGTCGGTGTGCCCCTTTGGCTGAGCGAGGGCTGTGGGCAGGTGACACCCCTGGGCTGAGCTCCCACCCTCTGGGACCCGAGGCAGCCCCAGGACCCACCTGCAGCACCCGCTGCCCAGTCCTCCCCAGCAGCCCCAGGGTGTCCCCTTGTACCCCAGAGGTGCTGCCTCTCCCTGCTCTGAACTGCTCGAGCCTCATGCAAGCTCCTGTCTCCTATCTCTGGGGTCTGACCCCACCTAATCCTGTCACCAGCCTGTCACTGTGGCAGGATTCAGGGTTTTTTTTGTCCACTGAGGAGCTCGGCAGTGTCCCAGAGCACCGCATGCTGCTCTCCACTTGGCTCTTCTGCAGCAGTACCCCAGAAGAAAGCAGGCTCATCTCCTGGCTGGGATAATCCCACCTGTTCTCCTTCAGCCCCTAAAGCAGCTGGCAGAGCTGGAGCAGGGCACACGAAGGGATGAAGGGTGGGCAGATGAAGTGGGTCACCGTGCTGCCACCCCAGAGCTTCGCAGGGTGCACCAGCATCGTGCCGCTTGGCTGGAGATGCTGCTCCTGTGTGAGCTCAGCCTGGCGGCTCCATCAGCTCCTCGGCGTGTCCTGAGAGCAAACGAGAGCCCGAAAGCAGCCCCGGCATCCTGCTGGGTGCTCTGGTGCTGTGGGGTGCCTGAGGGGCAGGGTGAGCTGTGCCCTGGGCTCTGACCACCTCAGAGGATGCTGCTGTGGTCAGCACCTGCC